CCCCCCCCCCCCCCCCCTTTTAAGCAACATTCGTTCAAGCATTAGTGTGAGTTTTGCCAAAAAATGGTAGACAGGAGGAGCGGCTGAGAAACCTGTTTGAAAACAATCATTTTTGTCAATTTGGTTTGGTGAGCACAGTGAAGCGCAGAAATGACAAAGTTTAAACCTGAAGCAAATTTTGAACTTAAGAATTTGAAACAATTTTAGCCAAGTCCACATATATTCAGCTTATTGTGATTATTTTTACTACCATGTGTGATTTTGCACTGATCAGATTGACTTGAGACCATGGAAGACCTATGGCTAGATTTACTAACAGCTTGTACCAGCGCAAACCCTCTTTTGGTGGGTCAGGATTTACTAAAGATATGCTATGAAACATGAAAATGAAACGGTGTTGACACATTTTAGGAAAGCAATAATTCATGTACTTGGGTGGATTTTGTTCTTCAAATTCCATTTATAAAATTAATTCCATATAAAGTCAATTCCACTCTGTGATTCTGATTGATCAAGAGTACTTGTAATTAGATTCAATTAGATTTGAAAATATTTGTAATCAGAATACAGTTACTTTTTTATGGATTACACGATTACATACGTATTTACATATAATGCAGTGATTCCCAAACTTTTTTGTCATCCTTCCACTAATACATTTACTTGAAGTACCCCTGAGATTAAAAAAAAAATATTATAATAGTTAAATATCACATTTGCATGTTCACAGCTCTCTGACATTGGTCACATGACGTCCAGGTAAATAAATCAAATATTTCATTTTTTAGCATTTTATTTTGATTGATGTTATTTTTAAATGATTTATTTTAAATGTACATTTTTATGATTGAATTAATTATTTGGTTTTTATTTAGCTCACAAACCTCCTGTAGTTCCTTCAGTTTGGGAAACCTTGATGTAATGCCATGTTTAAAGCACTTCATGTTGTTAATTACAACGAACAGAGTATTTTTTCTTACTCTTTGTATTTTTATATCAATATGGTACAAGATTATCCAATGTGATAAACGAGTTAGGTCAAAAGTAATCTAAAAGTAATCAAAAAGTAGTCTGATTATATTACCTAAAATGTGTAAAGTAATGGATTTAGTTACTAACTACAATTTTTGTCATGTAATTTGGAATCCTTATTGCTTACATATTTTTTCAAATAAGCACATTAGCATTACATTTTTCATTTTTTTTATTGCTTTGACTTTTTTTAGTTGCACTGATGATTGATGCTGATGTTTGACACAACTGTTATTCTCAAAAACGGTCCACGGACAGCAGTCCAACGATTACAGAACTGCAACACTAACAAACGCCAAATCAAATTACAAGAACATCTTCGAATGTGTATTCGGAATCTTTCAGCTACATACGAGTGGCCTCGTGCAAGCCGAGTTGTTGTTCCAAATATTTCATTCACAGATGTTTGCACAAGTGGTTTGGCCATCCGCAGCTTCTCTGCTCCTCTGTTGATCTCATTCCGGTCGCAGGTCTCGGAGCGCACAGGTGTGGATTGTCCAGCCGTGTCATGTGGCCCAAATCGGCTGTATCCAGAACATACAAAAACTGCCACATGCTCCCAAAGCGCTCTTGTTTAGTGTTTTATTTTTCAATCTATCAGATGGGGATAAAATGGGAAGTTCCAAGCAAAACAGGTTATGGTCTAAAAGGCATCATACTATTGTAAGTAATTTTCTTTGTTTACTTTACCTACTTTAAATATTAGCCAGCTTCCATTAACACGCAAAGAAATTCAGTTCACAATATGATTGGTTTTTACATGAGTTCTTCTTATTAAATTGAGTTGTTGAAATATCGCTTTCTTTCTGTTATAAATGTGTCAAACCATAAATACACAGATGTATTTTTTGTTTGTCACATAACCAGACACACAACATTAACTCCACATGCTTGTCAGTGTTTGTGCCAGTGGATGTGCCTTTGCTTGTCTTGCCTTTAAAACACTTAAGTTCTTACAGGAATGATAGTTATTGATTCCATTCCCATATGATTCTGTAAGAAAAGCTGTTGGGGGAACCAAACAATTCAGCAGCTGAAATCAGGAAATGCCTAGGCCGGTCTTCCAGAGACTAAGAACTAAACCAGACCACACTCACTCAAACGCTTCAGCAGACGTTATTAGAGTGCACTAGGCAATACTGCACTCTGCTTCTGGTCCAAGAGAATATGGAAAGCGGAATATGCATGGACCAGTACATGACAAGTTTTTGTGTAGATGTGCCATGATTTTCTTGCCAATGCTTTGCTTATTTATGCGCCAAAATATCATATGTCAGTAACCTCAAAACATGCCAGAACATAAATGAGTCTGTTTGAATTACAATCAACTGTTGGTAAATGTACTTGTTTCATAATTCTAAAAGGAGACTAAATAACATCTATTTTCATTTTAAAGGGACAGTTCACCCCAAAATGAAAATTGTCATCATTTACTCACCCTCAAGTTGTTCCAAACCTGTAGTTTCTTTCTGCTGTTGAAACATAAAACAAGATATTATGAAGAATGCAAGTAACCAAACAATTTCTGGTCCCCATTGACTTCCATAGTATTTTTTTTTCCATAATATGAAAGTCTGTGGGGACCTGCAACTTTTTGGTTAAACACATTCTTCATAATATCTTCTTTTATGTTCAACAGCAGAAAGAAACTCGTACAGGTTTGGAACAACTTGAGGGTGAGTGAATGATGACAATTTTCATTTTTGGGTGAACTATCTCTTTAAAATACCAAAATTTGTTAGTTGTTTGATCTAAAAACTAGTTTCATGGATCCAGGTACAAAGCACTTAGAGTATATGAATGAATTTGTTTTGAGCTGTGGAAAGAGACAGGTCAGTCGGGAATACAGTGGGCGGCCTCTCTTTAAGTCTCATTGGCTTGCGGATGCTTATGTCAGAATACGTTGCAGCGAAAAGTCAGCAAACGAAATCGCATAATAACATATACTCTAACTATTTCTGCCATATAAAGACCGTAGTCTATAGTGATTATAATTAACATCATTTAAGAACAACAGAAGTTAATAGGAGGTCTTCATAAAAAAAAATATAGGCTACTAGTTAGTGTGTGCGTGTGTAAATGTGAAATTCAAATGTGAGTAATGATGATTCATAACCTCGGGTTATCTCTGTCTGGAATACAATTTCAATCCCATCATTGTTGTCAGTAAGATTTTTAATGTTTTTGAAAGAAGTCTCTGATGCTCACCAAAGCTGTATTTATTTGATAGAGTAAAAAACGTAATATTTTGAAATATTATTATATTTTACAATTTATAAGTTACTGTTTTCTATTTGAATATATTTTAAATGTAATTTATTGCTGAATTTTCAGTCACATTATCCTTTAGAAATCATTCTAATATGCTGGTTTGCTGCTCAAGAAACATGTATTATTATTATTATTATTATTATCATCAATGCTTATCAATATTATTATTATCAAGCATCCAAATACTTTTTTTAATTCAAATTATGATCACACAAATATAATTTGTAATGACATTTTTTATTATGAAAGCAGAATGCAAATCTATATTTTGGCTATACCAGCACTGAATGGAAATGGAAAAAGTCTACAGTGGTTCATGAGACTGCTTCCACTCACTGACTAAGTGAACGACAGACTATTCTTTCAGTCTCATGTAAACAAACCATAACTAATAACCCTCAAATTAAA